GCCCCAGGGCCTTTGCACTGCTCCTCGCCCCCTGGCCTGTATGGATCCTCCCCTGAGTACACGCGAGACTTGCTTCCACACCACCTTCACAGTGCTTGGCTCAAATGTCACCGTCTCCCTCTCTGCTTGCCCTGCTTTAGATTCTAGACTACTTATTCCCACCTACAACACTTCATGTTATTTATTTATTTATTTTTTCCTTTTTGTCTTTTTTCGTGACCGGCAACGGGATCGCAACCCTCGGTGTGGCGCCCACACCACGCTCAACCAGTGAGCGGACCGGTCTCTATATGGGATCCAAACCCTCAGCGGGAGCGCCGCTGTGCTCCCAAGCGCCGCACTCTACGGAGTGCGCCACCGGGCCGGCCCAACACTTCATGTTCTAACACACTTCAAAATCGAGTTTGCTTCCTACGTTTCAGAGGTGGGACAGTCTACTGGAGACTCTCTACCTCCCATTTTCCTTTTTAGCTTGAAAACCAAATCTATTTCTTTCTCACCTGTACTTTAATATTGTCCAAATGGATGAACTATTTTTTAAAGTATTCCACATGGAACAACTGTCATCTTTGTCATAAAAAAATGTTAAAATTAAACAATTTGGCTAGATTTAAAAACTAAAGGATGATCTAACCTTCTCTGCCACTGTCCTTCCTGCTCACCAACTTTCTATCCTTCCCAAGCAGCCCGTCAGTGAAGTTCCTGTCGTTTTTTTGTTTGTTTGTTTTTCTGGGAAGAACAGTGAAAGGCGGTAAAGGGTGAGAACGACAGGAAACTCACCTGGAGCGGACTCCCACATCAGCCTGATGGGTTGGTAACACAGAGCTGCCCGGCCACGTGGGGTTTCCCTCCTCCAACTGCACTGGCCACCACAGCGGAAGGCAGGGGGTCCAGCAGCAGGGGGTTCTCGGCGCAGGGAGCGGCGCTGTGCGCGCTGGGGGCTGCTGGCGGCAAGGAAGCCTCCTTTGCACATGAAGGGAAGGGGGCTTTCCTAGACAGGTCGTGCATGTCTGCAAAAAGGATGGGATAAACGCATTTAAGAAAGGCTTCTGATCTACCCACACACAGCATTGTGGCTACAGGTGCATCTTGAAAAAACACAACCCTATTTGGACAATGACTAGAACAATGACAATTTTTAAAGCAATTTTGAAGCATAAAATGAAAAAAAAAAAAAAACACTATGATTACATGAAATGGTTGTAGATAATTTATGAAAAGATATTAACTAAAACCTAACTAAAACCGAATGCTCACGTTTTTCTGGAAGGGCAGAGTTGGATGCAGGTAGCAGTGCTAAATACCTTTTACATGGGAGGACTGAGCATCTGCATGTGGGACTCCAGGGCAGAAGGGAAGGAATGGAAGGAAGGGATGAGTCCAAAGGAAGAACTACTTTCCCACTAACTAAAGAGGGAGTATCTTTGTCAAGCAATAGTTGAGGGTAAGCAGAGACTTCAGAAGGAGTAGAGAAAGGAGAGCAAACACCTAACTGGGATATTTGTGAACTATTACACTTTGCAACAAAGGCTGGGCACAGAGAGAAACACCAGGACAGCTGGGAGGCAAGGCCACCCAGAGCTCAGAGTAAGCTGCCATCTAGAATTAGGGTAGCAGCAAAAGCAAACCTGTGAACTTGCAGAGAAAAACTTGCTCGAACACCACCTCATCTGATGCACCCCAGGTGTATGGGTGGGGAGGAGTGAAACATTGGAGTGTTTCCATCAGAAGTTTCCAGCAGGGACTCCCTTTCTCTGTCAAGTGTGCCTGAAGGTGGACACCTACTAAAGGGTCAGAGTGGCTGCCCACGTGACTCCAAAGGCTCCTAAGGACAGACTTGCTTCATGCTTCTTCTGCACCTCCCAAAACATCTACTCCTGTGCTGGCACATCAAACTCTCAGTAACGGATTGGCTGACGACGTCAACTGGGTTCCGCCTTGAGGAGATGGCTGGAGACCCGGTGCTTCGTGAGCACTCCAGCTGACCGGATGAACTCAAGAGCCGGCCACGACCGCTCATCACCCCGGGTTATTCTAGCAACGTAACTAAGCACTCATGCCAGGAACACTTGGATATCTTATTACAGTGATTATTGCACTTGGAACTAAGACCACAAATAAACCAGCAGTACTGATAAACTAAATTGCAAAGAATAGTATTAAGGAAAACTGAATCAAGATGAAAGGTTCTACCACATCTTTTAAATTTTAATATGACACTAAATACCAAAATGTTATTATATTTGGAAGCTATATAACCTTTAAAAGAAAGTTACCACTTAAAAAACTTGTCAAAATACATAAAATTTCAAGAATGTTTGCAAATTCATTAATGTTTACATTTATAAAGGTTTTGTAGCAGCCTTTTCATATTTAGTATTTCCACACGGTTCATTACTAAAGTTTTATTTATTCATTTATATTTTTGCTTTCTCAACCAGCTAAATTACAGTTAGTTTTCTGAAACTGAGTGCATCTAAAACAAATGTACACTCCCGGACTTATAATCCTCTAAAGGAGAAAAAAAGGATGTAGCTTTGCAACTTACACATTTTGCTAAAGTGTACCTAAATATATTTTCAATTGACCTGTATATTTATTAGACATCTAGTTAACCACCTAATGAAAGTTCTTTGTAGAAGTTTCACCAAACCCATTTGACAAATAATAACTGGAAGAGTGTATGCATAGCTTATGGATTTGTTTTCCATCTCAGTTGCATATGTAAGTGTTATTTTAGGTCATTTTTATGCAGAGAGACAATAAAATATGGATACCTACTATCGTAACAGAATAAAACAGAAGCAAATAACTTTAGTAATTTACTTTTTTAAAAAAAATGCATCCAAGGTATGGTGTAAGAAACTGACCACTAGATAGATTCTCCTTTTCCAGGAGTTTCTGCAGGGAAGTGCAAGAACTCTGCAAAGTCCTCAGGACACAAGGGTCCTCGTCCCTCCATTTCTGACCTCTTCAAACACAAGCAAGCTGCTCAGCACACTCTAATTCAGGCCTTGTTTAATCCTGCTTATTGTCCAGAGTTTCTCAAGTATTATTTGCATGCTTTTTAAATTTAGTAAAGACATCCTGGCCTATTTCCAAAACTTCTCTCCCTGCTTCACAATTTCCCATACTTATCCTTCCATCGGGACATACGGAGTCCTGAACAAAGAATGGGGATCAGAGACCCTCCCGCATGGGGCGGGCCAGGCAGGGCAGTGGTTTGGGGTGGCCTAGCCCAGATGACGAGATCGGGTGGCCTCACCACAGACCTGGGAATTCACAGATTCAGGTGGCACTGACTTCAGTCCCTATTTTGGGTGGCTTCACAGCCCTGGGCAGTGCAGGTGGAAGGTCCTCTGCAGAAGGCAGAAGGTCACAGAAGGGTCAACATCTCGCTCAGGAGAGACCTCTGCAGCTGCACACAGCACATCAGAAT